AACTAAAGTGAAGATTACATCCAAGATTTAGGGAGGTCAAAGTCCTTGAAAGTTGGGTGCAAATAAATAGGGAAATAAAAATTATTGGGTGTAGAATTGGCACAGACTAAAATCCTCAATTCAGTCCTATCGTTTGGGTGTTGAAGTGTAGATTTTAGCCCTCAGGCGAGGGGAACGTCGGAGCTCCAAAGTGAGAGCCGGTATCCTCCCAACTTAGCCGCAGATTCAGTAACCAAGCATAGGATTAGTCAATGTTCTTTATGCCTGGTTCAAAAGAGTAAAGAATAGGTATGCTCTTATTTAGCACAATACAATTTGAACTGATTCAATTTATCCATTCACTTAAATTTCTTGATAAGGAGAATGATGCTTTCTTATATATTGAACTTCACATTATAAACTTTATTAATAGAAATAGTTAATTAAGAGTTTATTAAAATTACATTTTTATTTGAATATCCTATTAGTGACAAATATGTAATTTGAACTATATTGTTATGATTAAATAATGATTTTTCAAATCTTAGTTCGTAGCCTCTAATATTACTCCCTGTGGGATCGATATCCAGGACTCCGTTAGAGCCCTGTATTACTTGAGCGATACATATACTTATGTTGATAAGTGTGACTTTGCAATTATTAAATATTTTATACACATCTTTATCAAATCTATAACCGTTATCAAGTTTTTGGCGTTGTTGCCGGGGATTTAAATCTTCTAGCAGCAGTATCAAATTCTTGTATTTTAAAGCATATATAAAGTTGTTGTCAATATACCAGGACTCTAAAATTATTGAGCAGTGGGTGACCAAAGATCATATTGTACATTGGCGGTAGATTGACCACCACGAAATCCTCCATATTAGTAAATTGGTGTCCCCCTCTCCTCAAGTCACAAATAGTCCAATTATATCAAAGACCTCCTTTCTTCCACCACTATATCTATATAAAGGGCAAGTAGTCACAAGTAGATGATCAGTTGACATGTTCATCTCAACCGAAGAGGCTTAGAATAGGAGGTTCTCTTAGCTATATATGTAAACCCACTTGGTAATTGTTAATTATCATTATAATGACGATGACACCATTGTAAGGATCCTATAAAGGGGGTAAGCTAGCATCAGTAAAAATGATCAAAGGGTGGAGCTTTCTCTCTGAGATAGAAGTGACAGCATAGTACATTCTCTATCAACTCACTTTTCGATGGGGCTTCCTACTGAGTCTCTTCCCAATATTGTAGGTACTATTCCCGTGATATGGATAGTGTTTTCTTGGATAGCCCATCTGACATCTTCCACTGATGCTTTCTCCTACTAACAAATGAGTTCTTCGGGTGCCATGAACTCCTTAAGCTTTTTAGCCATAATTAACTCCTTAACTACGCTATGGAGGTTCATGCACCCCTCTTTATCGTATTTTTTGTCTTTATCTTACTTGTAAAACTTGTTGGTGTTCAGGAGGAATCCATTGGTTTTCATCGGCCCCTTTCAAAAGTATAAATTGCCCTGAGTAGCTTTCAATTATTTTTCCATCAAAACCCTTAGCTAAGTGGATCTCCGTGCTTTCTGATTTTCAGATGAACGAACATTTGATCGTCTACATCTTCATGAATTTTGATCTGCATCTCTCTCCCTGCAGAGCAATCGACCTCTTTGACATTTAGAGCAAGGGCCATCTGCATCCCTCCACCCATCGTACTGTAAGCCTTTTTTGCATGATCTACGATCGAACTTCTCCACTTTTGAGACATATGGTTTCATGTACTCCTTTGCTACAGTGTGTTCGTTGACCAACTTTATATTTTTGACAAATGTTTTGGGTTTTCACTAAAATCCATTAGTGTAGCATCAACACCCACTAAACAAGAAGAGGGGAATAAAAACACTGTGCCAAAGAGACAACACTCAACTCCACCCAATGAAACAGTAACTAGGGTTTAGGGTTTAGGGTTAAATAGTTGATAATTTATTCCTTTCTTGAGGATGGCCTTTATAATTGTCGGCTCCAAAATTTGCACTTTAAGCATCTTCTTCTGGAATCAGGTAATGTATGCTTGTAGTCTCTCTTTCTGTCCTTATTTAATGTGCCACAAGGCTTTTGAATCCTTGTGGGGTTCTTAGGCGCTAGCGAACTACACTGTAAATAGCTTCTTAAACTCTCCAGAGGAGTGATAACCCCAATCAGGAGACAATTAAACCACATGAGAGCCTAATATCTCCGTGTGGTATAAAGAAATCACCACGTTAATTCATTGTAAACTTTGAGAAGGTATATTGTTGGCTTAAACGATGAAATGTGATCATCCGGATTGGCCTTTGTATGAATCTAGAGATAAAACCTTGAACTTCCTCGAGGGCTTTATATCAACAATATGTCAGGAGAATACATTCCCCAAAAAATGGTAGTAAACTTCCTTTTTCCCTGCTTATAGTCTACTCATTGGCATGGATCCAACACTATCATGGTACAAGGCTTATTCTACCAATTCAGCTCCTTGAGTCGTCTGATGACCTTGAGGATTGGGTGCTAGGGGATTAGGTTGTGGGAGAGGTTACACTCTCCACTCTAGCACCACGCGGGTCAGTTCCATAATTTGACCCACTATTCAATTTTGAAGCTCTTGAATTCGTTGTTGCACATATTCTATAACTTACTTTATAATATAGGTTTCTCCTTGGTGTGTTCGTTCTCTATGACATGCCCCTCTTCTTATTGAAATCATAACTCCACACTTACTGTAATGTTGAATCCCAAATTGTTCTTCGAGTCACGCGCAAGGAATAATGTGTTGGTCCGATGTGAGTATAAAATGAAGGTAAATGAAGAAGAGTGAAGGTGTAAGCCACAAATAGTACTAATTTTCTGAAAATGAAATTAGTATTCTTTTCTGTGAAAATGACCCTTTCATTTACAAATCATAAGGGGTGTCAAATAAATTACATGACTGTCCCACCTTAATGGGACCGTCATAATGAATTAATGAATCATGCCACCTTTCCATATTTGCAATCGATTTTAACATCATTTGAAATTGATAATCGCTTTTGGTGTCGTTCTGTATTTGTAACTGCTACTGGTACAATTTCATATTCATAATTGTTTGACTTGGTCATTAGATCGTCATTCGGTCTACTAAAATTCATTCGACCAACTGAAAGGTCTTTGGTGGCTTTTCTAGTTGAGTCTTTCATGAAGACAAACTGCCCTTAGAAACGGCTATTCCATCAACTAGAGGGTTCAACACTATAATTTGAAGGACAACCTTTCTTCTATCGATCTTCATAAAAGGATATGTGAGAATTCAGTTAGCCAATCGTTGAGCTTCTGAGTGCCCTTTCGTCAATTAAGTTGCAGTCAATCCAGGTATATGGCATTTTTTAGTTCGGACGAACTTTCATTCAGTCATCCCATAATTCAACTGACTGAAATTATGCTAAATGACTCGCTGCTTTGATACTTTATTTGCGCGATATGTTGAATTTCCTTGAGATTTATGGAGTCGCATTTTTTATGTACTATATGTATGTATGAAAGTATGTATACACACACACACACACACAGGCTT